TGCTCTTCCCCCTCGGATACCCGCCTCAAGCCGTCCAGGGGGGTCTTTCCCCCCCTGAGGTGTTTTTCTCCTCTCTGGTATAACGGCAACTGGCAAAAAGGCATCAAATGAAGCGTAAGGGAGCAGGTGAGAACTCTCCGTAACGCCGGCGAGCGTCGAAACGGTGGGGAAAGGCTGTTGACGTCGTCAAGCTTCGTTCGCCAGCGTGGGGAAGTGATTTGTGAGGGAAAAACCCCGTCCTCCTTCATCAAAGCACTAAACGGCGTTAGCGTCGGCGCGCTCTCCCAGCTTCTGGTTTTTAACGTCTCTTTCAACTATGAAACGAGGCTCGCGGAGGTGGAAACTGAAAGAAAGTCGCCCAAATCGAAGTTTAACAGATGAATATCAGTTGTTTAAAGTCCCTCGGTGAAGTCTATTCGGACGCGAGACGGCGGCGTGTGGGTAAATGCTCCCAGAGCTGAGCCCGACAGCCCGGATCCTTTCCCCGCTGCGCCAGTTTTGAGCCCTCCCTCCTCTTCCCGCCTTGAATTCACGCTTCGCTTCCATTTGCGTTGAGGGACGTGAAGGTCCCGCAAAGGCGATTTTTAACTCCCTGTTGAAAACGCTTCCTTGGTTTCCGTAACGTAATTATGACTGTGGCAGGATTTTATAAATAATACAGCAGCGATGCCGTTTCTGCGCGTGTTGTTATCAAGTTCCTAATACCCCGCACGTCGCTTTTTCTGCAGGGGTCATTCATAATTCATCCCGACATCAGACCTGTTGGCAAGTTGCTCTTTCCAGGTTCCCTCTGTCTCCGCTTTCAGCTTGGTGGAGATCTGATGCCCGGCATCTCTTTCGTCATGCTTTTTAAAGTGTTTTGTCAGTTCTTCAGGTGTAAAAATGAGGTGAGAAACTACGACAGGGTCAAAACCACCCTAAATGTGTGTTAAATCATCCTCTAGAGTGCTGATTTCTCTCTACTGAAAACCGAGCGAGTCCGGATGAGCGACTCGGAAGAGTTTAGGCAGCTAAAAGTTATTCCTGAGAAAGATTTCGTTGGATTCGTGACGTTAACGAGTTGCCTAAGAGCTGGGATCTTCCCTTCACCTTGCACAACTATTAATAAATTAAAGCCGCTGAGCGTGTTGCAGCTTTAGAGAAGTTTTGTCGTGGATTTTTACCGTTATATGGTATAAAAAGGAATGAGTTCTTACAGTTCTTGAATATTTGGGGTTTTATAAATAAACCTCAGGTGTGGCTGGCTCAGCTTAGGACCAGCCCCTTTGTTTTTAATTCTCTGCGTGTTGAGAATCGTACGGTTCCACGCGAGTGGCTTTTTGAGGAGAGCACCCTTTACAGTCAAGCCTTGCGTAGGAGTGTGTGATTTAGAGATTTAATTTAAATACTTTGTGATTCCAGCAGAAGACAAGCTTTATTCTCCCTGCATAAAGTCCTTTGTTGAAATCAGCGGGAGAACCTCAGACCTCTGCTTTCGGAAGGAATTGCCTCCTGGGCCCCCACTTTTTTTTCTGCAGGCGTTAAGCTTAATTTCTCAGCGCTTCACATAGGCTGAACGACGTAAATCTCTTGATGTTGCTCCGTCATCTCCGGATTCGTGCTCCGCTTGTACACGCGTGCGGAGAAAAATGGTTCTCAAGCTTTTCCCCCAGCTCAAGGAGCGCTGTCTTGGGAATCGGCTGGGAACCAGGACACACGGTGCATTCAGCTCGGTAAAATTCACCGCTTGCTCCCTTCCGAGTTGGTTTTTTTCCCCGCTCTGCACTTTATTTCGTGTTTATTTTCCCAAGAGAAGGCGATGACGATTTATTCCACTGATTTTTTTTTTCCCCTCCTGGGGGATGTTTACGCTGCTGCAGAGCTGACGGATACAACCTCTGCTCGTTGGTGCAGAGTCATTAATACCCAAGTGTCTCCTCTAGTGGGTTTTTTACATAATATTTAGTTTCAAAATCAGACGTTGAACTCTTAATTACCACGTTCTTAAGTTGTACTGGAAGCTTGAGATCTTTCCTTAACCCAGATTTCTTCATTCCTTGAAAGGGTATGATAATCGTGGTAATACCTATGTGAACGTAACGTGCCCTACGTCTCAGCAAGCCCAACGCCAGCGTGTACGCACGGAACTTAAAAGCGGGGAGCTTTATCCTATAGAATCTGGAGGTACAAAGAGGTGGGAACTCTCTTTGGCTGAAAAACACTGTCGATCTTTCCTTAACCCAGATTTCTTCATTCCTTGAAAGGGTATGATAATCGTGGTAATACCTATGTGAACGTAACGTGCCCTACGTCTCAGCAAGCCCAACGCCAGCGTGTACGCACGGAACTTAAAAGCGGGGAGCTTTATCCTATAGAATCTGGAGGTACAAAGAGGTGGGAACTCTCTTTGGCTGAAAAACACTGTCTTTCGGGCCGAGCAGCCTCCGTTTTCCTGAGGTTTTGTTCTTCATTCCTTGAAAGGGTATGATAATCGTGGTAATACCTATGTGAACGTAACGTGCCCTACGTCTCAGCAAGCCCAACGCCAGCATGTACGCATGGAACTTAAAAGCGGGGAGCTTTATCCTATAGAATCTGGAGGTACAAAGAGGTGGGAACTCTCTTTGGCTGAAAAACACTGTCTTTCGGGCCGAGCAGCCTCCGTTTTCCTCGAGGTTTTGTGCTGGGGCCAGGCTATTTTTGCCTCCTGAATTAATGTACCCGAGGTTTTATCAGAGACGGCTTAAAAATCGAAGGAGCGGAGCTCGCTTTTGATCCGACGTCTGTGTGTGGTCGTAAGCGCGAGGGCTGCTGCTATTTTTGGCGCTGCCAGTTGAGAAACGGGGCGACCTGCCCGGAGAAAAGCTTCCCTGCGCTGGCTTCGCTTTCTCTTCCCGTTTTTTCTCCGGCCGGGAGCTCGGCGTGCGCTGGGATGGTGCCTGTGACAACCAGGGGTTTGGTGTCCCTTGGCGTCACTCGGAACGATCGCGTGCGCTCAGCAGTTTGTTTGCAAGAGGTGAGTTAACGTGCTGGAGGAGGGAGCGTTAACATTGACTGTGGATTTAAAGTCAGGCTTTGGGGTGGCTGCGGTCGATGGAGCGGAGGGTTCGTCCTTGATTTCTGTGCTCTGTCTCGACCTGATCCTTCCCACCGGCAGCTGGAAAACCGCATCCCGGCGCCATCCTGCTCCCGCTGGAAAGCGAAGCTGAGCGGCGAGTGCCTCGACCTGCCAACGGTGGGAGAGGAAGTTATTCGGTGATAAGGCTCCGATTCAAAAAGGCGTTTACGTGTTGCAGTTCCTGTTTTGCTGGCGCTGCGGTTTCTATAGGAGTTCAAAAATACAGCGGTCACCATTTTGCCCGCGATTTCTTTAGGTTCTGTGTGCTTAAGGTGACTGCCCACGAAAAAAATAAAGCCGTTAAGAGGGAGAGGGGTCCTGTACGTCCTTGGGGGGGTGTTAGGCGGGTTCGGGCAGGGAGCTGGGGGCTGCAGGAGAAAAGCTTTGTAAAATCAGGGGCTGTCTTGAAAAGTAAATGTTTTGCAAAATTGGGGGCTGTTGCCAAAAAGGAAAAAGTTTTTGGAAAAGCGGGGGCTGCCTCCAAAAAACACAAGCTTTGCAAAACGGGGGGCTGTCTCCAAAAGTATAAATGCTTTGTAAAAGCGGGGGCCGCCTCCAAAAAACGCAAGTTTTTGCAAAATCGGGGGCTGCCACCAAAAATAGAAAAGCTTGACAAAATTGGGGGCCGCCTCCAAAAATATATAAAAGCTTTGCAAAATCGGGGGCTGTCTCCAAAAGTATAAAAGTTTGGCCAAATTGGGGGCCACCTCCAAAAAATACAAAAAGCTTTACCAAATCGGGGGCTGCTGCCAAAAGTGCGTAAAAGCATGGCAAAATCGGGGGCTGCCTCCAAAAATAAAAAAGCTGTGCAAAATTGGGGGCTGCCTCCGAAAAAGACAAGTTTTTGCAGAATCGGGGGCTGTCTCTGGAAAATAATGTTCTGCGAAATTGGGAGCCGATTCCAAAAAGAAGAAAGCTTTGTAAAATCGGTGGCCACCTCCAAAAATGTAAAAGTTTTGCGAAATCGGTGTCTAAGGCGCAGAAAAGCAGCCTAAACCTTCAAAGAAGGAAGGAAGGAAGCGGGCGTGTGTGATTTTTGGCTCTTCCTCAGCTGGGGAGCGTTTGGAGGGAGATGAGCCAGGAAAGAAATGCAGAGGAGTTTGGGGTGATAGAGCGGGTGTGGAAATAATTCGGATCCGCAGGAAGCCGGGCATCGGTAGTTCTGCTTGTGGACCAACTTCTGTTTCTGATCAGAATAATAAACAAAGATGGGAAAAAAAAAATGGTTCTCCTGCAGAGAAATGGCAGCCAAGACTCTTGGAAATGTTTTCAGCGCAACACCCAGCGTATGGCTTCCGATGTCAAAACTTAACGTAGACGATCTCAAGGTTTCGTTGCAGCACGGAGTTTATTTATCCCAGATGAAGGCGTTTGCCGAGCTCTTTGCAGCTCTTGCGGGGATCGCTGTGGTGCCGGGGATGCGGATCCCACCCTGGAAACTTCGGAAAAGGTTTAAAAGGGAGAGATGATTTATTTTGGCGAGAAAAACAGATCACGGCAGCTGCTGTGAAAAGAAAAGAGCGGGTGAAGTGCGGCGGGAGCTCCTGCGTGTCGTGGCCCTTTGCTGCTGCTTCTACCTGGGCAAGTGCTTCGTCCTGCCGCTGTTTCAGAGTGAGAGACCGGAGCGAAGCCGCCTCGTTAGCGTAAATCTTGCAATTAGTGCTGAAAAGTGGAGGGAGCTCGGTTTTCTTTTATTGGCTGGTATAATGGCAGTACTCACCTGGGATCACGTACAAGGATATCCGATATTCCCTAGGAAAAAGGATGCTTCTGCTGGCGTAACGCAATCAAAACGTCCGTTCTCGATGCCGGTTCCGTTCTTCGGATGATTTATCCCGCAGATTTTCTCCTGTATAAATGTAGCTTTGCACCGTCATTACGTCAAGCACCTCTTAAAACTGATTTCTCTTTCAAAACACAGTGGGGTTTTGTTGTTTGCTTGTTTGGGTTTTTTTTTTTAATTCAAAACATCTCGTTGACCTTTAGATTGCTGAAACAATCTGAAATAAAGCATCGGGCAACCTTCAGGCTTGGTGGTTCCCAAACAATAAAAAGCCCCAGCGCAGCTGTAATTATTGGTTCTAGGGAAGAAACAAATGCCGTGATAGCAGCAGAGGCGATCCTTCTAACAGCGCCATTCTTTTTCTTGCAGGTTATGGCACCTGGAACACTGGGGCCACCAACACTCCAGGTGAGTCTTGTGTATCTAAAAATATACCTAGGGAATTGCAATTTTAGCGCAGAACTTATTTTTTTCTTCTTTCTAGCCAGAGTAGCGTAATATAGAAACAGCTTTTGCAGCCCGCCTTCTCCTCTGCCTGCTTTAGTGACTGTCTGCTTGGTTTTTTTGGTAAGAGCTTCCTCCCTCATCTCGTGATACGCTCCGATTCCCGCCGTCGTACGCTGGAGGAACTGGTCGCAATCTTGCGTGTGATTAATAACCTGCTTCGCTTTCTCTCCTGAGATTTATTAGCGCTGCGAAACGAAGCGTGTCCTGGGGTATTTGGGAGTCGGGGCTCTCTCCTTTGAACTCCTTCCCAGCCTAAACAACAGTAGAAGCAGCGAGAGGCTCCTGAAAGTGATGGTTATAACGAACGTATTTGCTTTTGCCGTGGTTTTGCTGCTACTTGAGGGTTTTTATTGAATCATTTGAGTTGTTTTCAAGTGCAAATACTTGAACGTGTTTCAAAAAACATATTAAAAAAAGCCTGTATTATCCATGTCATTTTCATAATTGGCTCTTGGAAGTCCCAGCTTCTTTCCCGTTCTGTGCAAAAGGATCCGTCGTTTTTACCAGCGATTAAACGGAATTATATGCATTTAGTCTCTGAACTTTGTTGCTTTTAGAGCTGAACCACTCTTTTTCTTTTTGCCCCGTTCAGGTACATACGCAACGAATGCGACGAGTTGGCAAGGTACGTGCTAAAAAAACCTCTTTTATCTCCGGGCGTTGGGGTGCCCTGCTCAGTCTCTCGAGTTGGCTGCAGCGAGCGGAGCTGTTTTCCAGCTCGTAAACTGCCTCCGCTTGGAAGTTGGTGTGAAGTACGCAACGCCGTGCTTTTAAACCGCTCCTCCTCGCTAATCCATTTATTTATTTCTACCTTGCTTCCGCTTTTACTTCTGCGAAGGGAGCAGCTCTGTCGTGATGACTGGCAGCCGTCTTTTCCTTAAAGCAGAGAAATTAGCGCGTGGATGGGAACAGTTCATTTATTTCACGTCTCCGTTTCTCTTTTGAGCTGGGACAGCCCGATGTGTGCATTAATAAAATGATTTTACTGAGACGATACCGTTTTCCCCTCAAAACCCAAGGCTCGCCCTCGCCATTCTGGCAGCTTGACGGTACACAAATGCACTTCTCGATGAGCAAGCTGGCGCTTCCCCAACAAAACATGATTTGCTTTCACTAATAAACTTTCCCTCTCGGAGCAATTAGTTAATTGGCCTTGATTTGGGTCCTGTGGCTGTTTTAAGCCGGTCTTAACACGTTCCCAAGCAAAAGCCCGAGATTCTTTCAGAAAATATTATTTCTTTGGTCCTCACAGTATAAAACTGAACGCTGCACGTTGGGCTGTGGATTCCAACCTCCCAGCTCAAGTCATTGGTGAAAATGAAGGATTTTTTTTTTTTCTTCTATTATTCCTCTTTTTTGTAAAGCCTGGGCGCCCCTGTTGAGGACTCGCGCCCCGTTGTGCTGGGTATTGTGCCGACGCGGAGCAGAAAGGCTGTTCCTGCTCCGGAGACCTTCTAATCTAAATAAAAACACAAGTTGCAGGCAGGCGGGGGGGATACAAAGACACGATGAGGCAGTGCCGGTCAGCACAACCGGCATCGGCACACCGGCGGCCGTAATGATGTCAATTTTATCGCAGGCGTCACGGGAAAGGAGAATTAAGGGGGATTATTACGGCGGGCACTTTAGGAGAGCCCTAGGAGCGATACAGTGAAGGGTTTGGCAGGTCAGAAGCAGCGAGAGGAAGCTTGCCGCATAGCTCGGGGCACGTGTGTCTCTGCCCGAGTGATGACGGATTCGAGCCGGGGCTGTAGAGTTGCGACAAGGAGTGTCGGGAGCGCGTGCGCATCCCTTAATCCGGATCTCGGGATCGCGTGAAGCGTCCGGCAGCTTCACGAGCGCGGCCGCAGCACGTTGCTTTTTCTGCCGCGCCGTGGTATCTTGCCACAAGGCGCTCTCTGAATACAACTCGCTGCTTTGATTTTTCTGATTTAATTTATTTCATCGTGGTCCTTTTTTGATGGATACGTGACGACATCCCCGGCAGCGCATCCGCTTTGTGTTCTCTTGTGTCGTTTTGCGGCACCGTGCGACGTAAACGGGGCTCAGGGTCCCGCAGCGTGGACTTGAACTTGTTAAAAAATCACAAATACAACCAGCAGCGCTCCGTTTCTGCAGTTAAAATCACCCAAAGGAGGAAGGTCCTTCCGCTTTTAGGGTTGGGCAACAAGAATCTTTGGTATTTCTCATTTTAAGAAACCGGATTTCCTTGAAAGGAGGTAAAACCCAGCTGCAGCCTTGCCTGGTAGAACCTGTTCGCGTCTAAACTCTTCCTCCGAGTACCCGTGTCTTTATAATACTGTACTGATACCGATTTTATTTTCTTTTCCTGCCAGGTTATGAAGGCTACGACTATTACAACACCCAAACCACCGCCGCTAATACAGCGGCCACGTACAACTACGCCGCAGCCGCTGCCACCTCCAGCAGCTGGGAAACACCCAAAACTTCGGATATGAGCATGAACGCCGACGTCAACGCCGCCATGCCCGTCGCCTCGTACGGCGCCGAGACTTCGGCGAACGAGAACTCGGATTCCATCATAGCCAAGATCAACCAGCGTTTGGATATGCTGTCGAAGGAGGGCAGCGGTGGGACAGGGGAGGGGATGGAAGATCAGGAGAGGTGACTATTCCACTTCTTATTTATTTTTAATAGTAAAAAAATAATGGCTTTTAATCGCTATAAGTTCGGATTAAGCTGTTCTAATTGCGTAGGCACGATCCAGCGTTCGTTCCCTGGAAAACGAGCTTAACTGCTTATTTTTCACCTGTCCTCGTGTATGTGCGCACGTGCACTTACATATTTTTTATATATATCTCTCTCTCTCAAACATGTCAAACTTGACGTACGCATCAAGCATTAAAAGCGACTTCCCTTGTCGATTCAATTCCTAGATTTTGCAGAAGGTTTTTTATTTATAGTTTTTAGGTTTCTTAAAGTATACTTTTCTTCTGTGGCCTTTTTTCCTCGTGGCTGCCCGGTAATTTTTTTTTTTTTTTTCTCCCCCTGGGTTAAATTACGCCGGTCTGGAGAGTTGTTTCATGTCGGTGTGTGTTTTGCTGCTGAAATAGTAATACAGATCTTGGCAAGAATTACTGCATAAGTGAAGTTTTGCCTGGTTTTTTAGCTTTTACCTGGGGCAGCTTTAGGGATCTGCTTTTCCGCCAGCAAAACATAATTCAGAGTGGTTCAGTGCTATGAAGTTGGTGAAGTTACAACATCTCTGAAGGATTTCTGTTCAGATACTCGTGCAGAAAAGCACAGTTCTTTGATATTTATTTAATTTCCTTGAGACTAGGGAAAAGGTGGAGTGGGATGCAGAAAGTGATCGGTACGCAGGGTTTAAAAATATTTTTATCCCATTTTTCTGGCCAAAACCGTTTGGGTTGTGACAGAAACGGATGCAAACGCCTGTGTGATGTGCACGGATGTTATTTTAGCTGCTGACCGTTGTCTCCTCCTGCGCAGCTCTTTCAGATTTGAGTCTTTCGAATCATACGACTCGAGGTCTTCAATGAACGACCGCGACGTGTACCGATCCGGCTACGATTACGGAGAAGTCGGAACCGATCGGAACGATTCCTTCGGGAGCCAGTTCGATAACCGCAGGGATCAGTCTCGTAACCGAGGAAACAACTACGGCCTCATCCGAGGACGGGGTCAAAACCGCGTTCAAAATCGCGGGCGTCTAAACGCTTTCAACCGCACCGACCACTTCATGCCCTCCTCCAGCTCCGAGCGCCTCTCGGCTCGTTGGAACGAGTTGAACTACATGGGTGGGCGCGGGATGGGGGGTGCCGGATCCAACAGGCTCCCTTCCCTCTTTTCCCAAGCCCTCGTTCCCGACTACGGCGACTACGGAGACTACGGAGATTACGGCGACTACGGCGACTATGGGGATTACGGTGATTATGGCGACTACGGAGATTATGGTGACTACGGAGACTATGACTATGGCATGATGGGGATGTCGGGCATGGGAATGGGACGGTATGGGAATATGCCGTATGGAATGGGGAGGCAACGAAACAGAGACAGGATGGGTACGGTGCCCTGGCACATGAACGCGCTCATGGTAAGTCGTCGCCGTCGTTTTTGGTTTTTTTTCTTGCGAAGATTGCTTTTTGCTTGCCTCGGTGGGTCGGCTTCACTGTTCAGCTCTACTGGAGAAGCACCCGTCTTAATTCCCGTTGCTTCCACCACGGAATAATTTAAATCTTCCTGGATAGAGCAGAGGGTCACCAAGTTTGTTTAGACCCATTTGCACGTAAAACAGAGCCTCTGAATGCTTCCCCCATCCCAAACCCGCTCTCTAGGGGCGCTAACCCAGCTATAAAATCCTTTTATAGCCAAAAATAAGTCTGCAGGGTCACAAGAATTTCAACTTTTTCAGGAGGTGTAGCAGATGGGTGGAATACTTTGATTTTTAAGCTTTTTTTGGTGCCTCAGGTTGATTGATACAACTGATTTCTTCCCACTTTAGCCCAAGAGAAGAGGTTTCCGAAACCGTTCAGGAGGGCGATCGGACGGCGAGGGAGGAGGACGCAAGCGAAAACAGTCGCAAAGCGGAGATGAGCCGGACAGCAAACAGGCGAAGACCGACAGCGAAGGAGACGACACCGAGAACGGTACGCGCTGTCTTCACCCGCTAATATTGGCCGTTTTCCCCCGTTTTGAAGTGGTTTATCTTTCAGCTGACTGACAGTTGTTACATTTCAAAGCTGTGGTATTTTTTCAGTCGTTAGCGTTGTTATAATACGCCTGCAAGTGCCCAGGCTTTATGATCTGTGCGTCTTGTGGCCTGGGACAGAAAATTTAATGCCCGAGGTGAGCATTGTGAAAGGAAGGACAGAGTTTGCAGCGGAGATTGACGGGCAAAGAGAAACCAGCGAGCCGGTTGCGATCTTTCGCTGGGGTTTTGAGCCGTTATCGCAGTACTCGGTGGTTTATTAGATAGCGGTGGGGCCCCCCTTGGAGTGTTAAGTGGGAGAAAAGAGCCCCCAACACCAGCTGAATGGTTTTTCTTTTGTGCAGCAGATGAGGGCGAAGGAGAGGAAAAATCAGGAGATGAAGCTCAAAGGTGTAAGTTTGCAGCGGAGATTGACGGGCAAAGAGAAACCAGCGAGCCGGTTGCGATCTTTCGCTGGGGTTTTGAGCCGTTATCGCAGTACTCGGTGGTTTATTAGATAGCGGTGGGGCCCCCCTTGGAGTGTTAAGTGGGAGAAAAGAGCCCCCAACACCAGCTGAATGGTTTTTCTTTTGTGCAGCAGATGAGGGCGAAGGAGAGGAAAAATCAGGAGATGAAGCTGACAAAGGTGTAAGTAACTCTTTTTTTATCAGCCTTTGTGGCAAATGTGGGAATATTTAAGCACTCGAGCGATTTCCTTTGCTTTTTTTGACGGCGCTGAGGGTCAGAATATTTAAAATCGCCCAGAAACAGCGTTTTGAGCCCGTATATTGCGGAGGTATTTGCTCCTCATAATTCCCCCACGCCCTTCGGCAGGGATCGCCGGCAGAGTCGCTTGCACCGAGGTGCCTGAAAAGCACTTGTGGTGGAAAGGTTAGGATCCTGCGCCTGCAGTTCTGCTTCTGGCGAGGCTCGTTAGGGCTAAATTCCAATTAGTGGTTGGCTTCTTCCCTCGTCGCTCGGTTTGCCGGGTTGGGTGGGGGTTGTTGCCATTTGTTTTACTTGCGACTGCGTGTAACCTTCGGTACGGTGTTCCTCGGAGCGGCGACTCAGCTGCCAAGTATTTAAATTTTGATAGCGAGAAGCGATACTTAGCGGCGACGTATAACCTGATACATGGAAAACAACTGTTTTGTAAACACTTAGAAAAATGGACATTTAATCCCCAAATGACCCAACCCTTCGCCCGCTCTGCGGTCTGGCTGGGTGGGCCGTGAAACCTCCAAACGGCAGTGAATAACACCGGCGTCTTTTTGTGTTTCTCTTTTCCAGGAGAACGGGAATTGGGGCCGTTTGGCGGAGGAAGGTAGGGTGTTACCACCCCTCACGCAGTCCTCCTGGACTAATCCTACTCGGAATCCATCTGTTTTGCCTCGGGGCGCTACCGAGAGCTCGGGTTTTTTTTTTTTTGTTCGGTCAAAAGCTGATGCAGCTCCTGCTGTGACCTGTTAACCAGTCCAGGGCTCCGGCGCCGCCTGTCCTGGCACAGAAGTGCCGCGCTGGTTAGCAGGGGAGCACCAAAACAGTTTCGTTTCTTCTGGGCTTCTCGGCGCGGACGGTTATCGGATATTAGTTTATCTTCCTGCCCTGCTTGGAGGACGGCGGTGAGGATGCACACGTCTCGCAACGGGGCAGAGCAAAAATACCGTAAACTGAATCATTTTCAGTGGAGGCTTCAGCCATGAGCTGAACCTCGTTTATGTTTGGATTTTTTCAAATAGATGGGACTATGTCAAGGCCGATGGAACACTAATTTAAAACCCATGTGGTCTAAAGTAGCTGGAACCACTTCAGCTGGTTCTGGATCGTAACTTTCGGAAAAGATACATCAACCCCTTGTGCCTTCTGCGTTAGAGTGACGTGAGGAAAACCACGCGTGGGACTTTGGTTGCCACTTGTCAGTTATTCTCAGGATTGAAACGGAGGTGTCGTTGGATGTTATCATTCTCGTTTAAGCCTCCCTCTGACGCCCGGGTCTGGTTTCCGGGCTCCTTTACCTGGAAATGTTGCAGGTGAATTATTACCCGAGTCCTGTGAGGCTGACAGACCTCTGACTCGGAGACCCCAAAACACTGCAGGGATCAGGTCAGCTGAATCTTTAGGGGGTTTTTGTGCTTTCCCGGTAATTATCGAGGAATTATTGGGAAGGCGACGTGAGGAGCATATCCAGAACTGCCCCAAAGAAGCAGAACTGCTACTCGAGCACTGCTAGCATCTCCGCTGTTTTTTGTCGCTTAACTTTCTCGAGGAGCTTCTTCAGCCTTGTGGAAAATAGATGAACGGGGAAAAAAATGAGAATACGGGGAGAAGTAGCAGCCCCTTCCGAGGAAGGGAGATAGAGCGGTGTCTTTGCAGCATTGTAAAAGTCAGGACTCCTTCCACTCTTTCCACTAACGGCATGTCCCGTCGCTGCCTACGAAGACTTTGAGTTGCTGTGGGAAGTTCGGGGAGCTGGAGGAGAGGAGGGTTTGGGTTTTACGACGACTGCTGGAGACCTTGGAAAGAGGCCGCCGCTTCCCCGCGGTCGGAAGCTGGCTTGGGAGAGGGGGAGCTTCCCGAGACCGAAAGAAGTTGTGACTTCCCGAAGCTGAGAGTGAAGAGGAAACCAAGGGATTTGGGTCCCAAAATACCTCAGCCGGCGAAGCGGGTGATTGTGGACACAGGAATTCTGATTGATTATTTTTTTTTTCCCCCCTCTCCCCTAGCATCTGGAGATGGCTGTGAAGACGACGATGAGGAGGTGAAAAAGAAGAGGGAGAAGCAGCGGAGAAGGGATAGGATGCGCGATCGCGCTATGGACAGGTAAGGAGAGTGAAAAGCCAGTCCGTTCCTAGCACTTCTGTGAATAATACTGACCGAGGGTATTCCTCTGCACAAATGTGGGATAAATCTGCTGGGGGATCGTCTTTTGGGGCTCTGCATTCTGATTTCAGCAGGGTTTTTTTTTCCCTTTTTAGTGTGTTTTATGACTGTTTTTAAGATGAGGAGGATACTGTGGTGTTTAATACGTAGCTCAGCGTGGAGTTACAAGTTCAGAAGGGCTTTTTAGGTGGCTATATGTGCAGCCTTGCTATTAAAATAATACAATAAGTGATCTAAAGACAGACTGACCAGCGAAGGCGGCACCAGCGTTTCTGTACCTCGGGGCTTTCCCCCACCGGGGAGAGGATCTTCACGGCGAAGAGTGCCGATTCACCTCCTGCCCTGTGAATTGGTCCGGTTGCTTTTAAACTCAGGCAAGGTTTTCGCGTCCGTAGCGTAAAGTTTTATGGAGAAGTAGGTGCTGTTTAATCCGTGCAGGTTCTACAGCGATTGTAAAGGTCCAAGGCAAAGTAAAATTGCGTGGAGTGGCGCTTGGAAAAAACTTAAGATAGAAAAGTACAACGGGGGCGGTAACGGTCGCAACTTCTTGATGTTCTCGTTAAGCTGAGCTCGTTCCTCACTTGCGGTACGACTGCTCTGTTTAGGATCCAGTTTGCCTGTTCCGTCTGCAAGTTCCGCAGTTTTGAGGAAGAGGAGATCCAGAAACACCTCCAGAGCAAGTTTCACAAGGAGACCTTGCGCTACATCGGCACCAAACTCCCGGATAAAACGGTCGAGTTCCTGCAGGTAGGTGGGTCGCCTGGAGTTAGCTCAACCCTTCCCTGCATCCCTGCTGGGATTTCCAGGCTGAATTTGGGATTTCCAGGCTTACACGGGGACGGGGAGGGGTTACGGATTCATCCGCGTACAGCCCCCTGCTTGGTTGGCTCGCGTCGCTGCTTGTTAGCGCATCACCTGATGACATCGCTTGGCATGACGCGGTTTCTCGCGGGTTTTCGTGTTGGGAGGGAAAGTTAATGGTGTGAATTTGAACAGAAAGGCCAGAAATTAATATTCCAGAGATCGTCTTTGCCAGCTCTACATCTAGAGCTGAGGAAGGAGAGATGAGAACTGAGGCATTTCATTTTCTGGATGACCAGTGTTTGCGTTTTGGGGGCGTTTTTCAAGGATTTGGGGTCTCCCACAGGGAATCTGATGGTGACGTGGGAACAGGTTTCTGTTTGGCTCCGATTTGGATCTTTTCCGGCTCTTGCTCTGGTAGAAATGGCAGGGGACGGGGAGGGGAAAACACCCGGCTCGCCTAGTTAATTCACCAACCGCGGCCTTCCCCGTGGGTTTTCCCTGGAGAGCTCGTTTCCCTTTGGAGCTACTCGACCGTCTCGGTGCGTTGCGTGGAGGACAGCGAGTTTTGTCCCCTTCCCTTCTAGGAGTACATCGTCAACAGGAATAAGAAAATCGAGAAGCGGCGCCAGGAGCTGACCGAGAAAGAGGGCGCAAAACAGAAGCCGGATCCTTTTAAGGGTAAGCGTCCGTTCTGCGTCCAGAGACCGAGCGAGCGTGCAAGAAAACAAATAAATACCGCTCCCAAAGAGAGAGCAGCAGCACAAACGGGAAGGATTTGGGCGACTCGGCCTCGGGTTCCGGGTGGTTTTTTTTGCCAGCTTTGTGAAATACGTCGTCTTGGCGGGGAAGGGGGAATACCCATCCTCACGGCAGTTTCTCAAGCGGCCGATTCGTGAGGCTCGTGCGATGTCGGAGATACTAAAATGAGGTAAACGGGGAAAAACTCCCAGGAATTGTTGTGTTTTGTGGCTGTTCGGTTAACGCGGCTGGATCCTGCGTTCGCTTTTAACGTTGAAAGAAAGCAGCGAAGTTGATCTGTTGTGGCAAGAAGCGTGACGGGGAAAAAAATCCGCTTAGCTTCGTCAGCGTGCCTGCAGCACCCGGCCACGTCTGTGCTGGGAGTGATGAGCGGAGTTTAGTTAAGCCAGGCGTCGGCTATAAAATCTTGCAGGCAGAAAACCTGAGCCTAAGTAGGGAGGAGGAACGAACCCAGGGCTGGGGGAAGAGCGAGTTGTCCCTTCCACCTCTATTTAAATACTTTTTTGGAGAGGCAGGCTGGTTTTGGGAGGAAAACAGCCTCGGTAAGTCGATTGCTGTGTACCTCGGGCTGTTAGCCCCGTCTCTCTTCCTCCTACGCTTGGGTACTGCATCGGTACGATCTGTTTTAGAGCAGAACAACTCTCCTCCCCGTCTTAGAGCAACGTATGTGATTTTTTTATTTTGGTCTCTGAAAGCAGAAACTGGAAGGAATATGGGTGCTGAATTAGCGTGTTGGCCGTGACGTGGGGTCGTTAGAGGGGGTGGAAAGGCGCCCGCGACGTTAACCGGCCGAATGTCTCATTTGTTTGGGATTTTGGCTGACGCCTCGTCGTCGCTGTAGGTATTGGCCAGGAACACTTCTTCAAGAAGATCGAGGCGGCTCACTGCATGGCGTGCGACATGTTAATTCCTGCGCAGAACCACCTTCTCCAGAGGCACCTGCGCTCTGCCGATCACAACAGAAACCGCAGGGTAAGCGACCCTGCTCGCTTCCGAACTGGAGCGTTTCGGCTCTGCCGGGGCGAGGGGATGCGTCCGGGCGCTCGAGGTTTATTTGCGGCTTCTAAAAAAACCTTCTCGTACGGTCTCGGATCGCACCACGAGATGAAGCCCGCCGGCCGGGGAGCTGTGAGGGGTTGTGGGATGCCTGCGGACGGGCTGTGCGGGGTTTGTTCTTCTGTAGGGAAACGTGAGCGGATGGGAAGTGGGAAGGTGAACAGAAAAAGTGATACTAAAAGGGAGATCCGATGTGCAGACTAAACGCGTCCTCTTTCTAAATTTGCAGTGCTCGCTAGAAATTAAAATTAAAAATTGCCTTTGAGGGCGCGTGGGGAATTCGTAAGTGAGACGTAATCGATGTCTAAATTGGCCCAGGCTGGAGCGGGGCTTTGGACGTTGCAGACGGAGACGGGGTGAGCTGCGGTGAGCGCCGCACGTCCCTCGGGGCGGTCTTCGTCTCCTCTGTCTTTGGGCGTTTGGCGTGAAACGTCGCTGTCCTGGACTTGATCTTGGGATATCTGGGGGACGTTCCAGCTGCTGGTGCTGAAGCACGTCTTTCTCCCGGGCCCGTGTTAGCGGAAGAGATGCGGGTGCGCCCCTGCATCCGCCGTTTGTGATGTTCTCTGGGATCTGAGACCAGGCTTCCCAAGCCCTGCAGAGGAGGCGGGGATACGACCTCTCGAGCCAAACTCCTCGTTGGAACTCTTCCCCTTTTGAACTGACCCCGATGTTCGGTTCCTTTTCAGATGGCTGCGGAGCAATTCAAGAAAACCAGCTTACACGTCGCCAAGAGCGTCCTGAATAATAAACACATCGTAAAGATGCTGGAAAAATACCTCAAGGTGAGTGAACGAGAGAGTCGGCAACTCCTGCCGAGTTCCCGGAGCAGCGGGGTCGGGCTCCGCCTTGGTCCCGGAGCAGCACGGAGCCGCGTCTCGCCGTGTGCTGCGTGTCGGTGACGGGACGCCTTGCTGCGTACGGTGGGGAGAAGCGTAGGTTCCACTCCGCTGCCTTTTTATCTCTAAATCTTGGGTCTGGTTTCTTTTCTTTGTAGGCGGTTTACCACTTCTCGTGTTTTTTTGGGTTGTTGTTTTTGTTGTTGTTGTTTTTTTTTTTTTAATTTATTTAACTCGCAGACTGTACCTACCGTCATTCCCAGGCGCGTGTAGGTCAATTACGAAACAGTCCAAAACGGAAACGTAATTAAAGAAACCAAAGTAGCAAAAAGGAACTCCGGTTCCCCAAAGCCGCCCCTCGAGCTGTGGCCTTGGCCGGGGGGGGGACACGCCAGGTTCCCCCCAGTGCAGGGGAAGCCAGCGCTTGAGTCCCGCCGGGATCGAGTCCGACGTGGGTGGCTCCTGGCCCACCCGCTAATCCTGCGCCGGGGGGGGAGGGAATTTTTCCCCTGTATAAAGAGCCGGGCTCCGCGGCGTTCCCGGCGGCTCAACCAAATGACGGAGCGCCCCGAGGAGGGGCGCATCCAATTCCCGTGAGTTGAAACACCCTCCTTAGCCCCCGCCTCCCCTCCCCTTTTTCCTCCTCTTCCCTTGGGAAGTGGCAGAGGACGCCCCAGCCGATCTTCAGAGCCGAGACGGAGCACGAGGAGAGGTCAGGGTAGGGTTCGCTTAAGCCCAAACCAGCGTTCGGAATTACAGAAAGAAGCCCGGAAGGCAAGCGCAGTCTTCAGAGCACGGGGGGTAATCCGCTCCGTGCGGGAACGCCGCCGAGCGAGCCAGCCGGGGGGATGCCCGCGGCCTAACCAGCGGGGGGTTTATGCCCGGCATAAAGCGCCTCGCGGTAACCGCGGGTCCGGAGGCGGCGTGGGTTTAACGGGCGAAGTCCCGCATCCGAGAGAGAGGAAAGGTCGCAACCTCCTCCGCCAGGCGAAGATGAAAAAGAAGCGCTTTTGGCTACTTGCTTGTTCCCTGGGAATCCGGGAGCAGCCCAGGATCCGGCAGGAGAACCCCTCGTTTGCGAACCTGGCAGACGAGGGCAGGCAGATGCCCACACACACACCCCGCCCCCCCCCACGGGGGAGCAGATGTTTCCCCCGTCCCACCGGCATCGTGGGTTTATTTTTGGTCTAAACCCGGACTGAGCTAGCTCTCGTCATGCCCCAGTCTCTGCTAAACTCTAGCAAAAAAAAAAACCCAAAACCAAGCCCCAAAATAAAAAAAACTGCGACTCCACCCTCTGGGTCCGGTGAAAAGAGACTTTGAGCTGAGAGTTTGTCGGCGTAGGACGGCCGTCTCTCCCCTCAAACCGGCCTCTCATACACGTTGAACAGGAGGGTGAGAGAAAAACCCTGCGGTACCCCACAGGAGAAAAGAGAGAGCGAGCCCTCGGGGCAGACGAGGTGCAAACCTCTGGGATCTCTCAGTGAAATTAAAAAAAAACCAAAACACACACAAAAAAAAAAAAAAAAAAAATATATATAAACCCCCCAAAAGACCGGAACCACTCAAGTGCAACTCCGTCTACCCCTGCCAGGGTCCGCAGGCACGTCCACATCTCCTCATGATCAACGGTATCAAAGGCTGCCGGCAGATCTAAATGAATCAGCACGGGCGCCTGACCTTTGTCCATCGGCAGGAGGAGATCTTCGGATCCATCCCAGCACGGTCTCCGTATCATTCCCAGGTGCAAAACCAGACTGAAAAGGGGTGGAGGAAAATCTGAGGATTCCAGGTAATGCCAAGAGCCGCCTCGCCATAAACGTTCTCGGCAAACCTTCCCCCAGAAAGGAAGGCCGGAGACGCAGGGCGATTAATTAATCAAGACTTGGCCGCATCAAGAGATGATTTCTTGACCATCGGCCTAAGGATTCCTCCTCGGAGGGATGGCGGGACACCTCGCCCTTCCCAAGGGAAGCCGTGACAGTCTCCACCACGAGTGGACTTCACATCCCCCGGTAGATTTTACCGGCGATAACGGACGTTGGGGTCCAAATCGCGAGGTAGAGCCCGATAGTTTTATATCCCACACAC